TGAAGCACTTCAGCCCCCAAATGTGGCCTTTTGGAGTGTGGGTTTATGTACAAACTGGAACTGTTTGGATATCTTACATGACAGCTGCTCAATAAATACCATGGCCACTTGTGCTTAGAAAATAACAACATGAAGGGTGTGCAGGAGGGAAGGGAAAACAATCCTGGCATTAGTGCTAAAAATACATAGGTGAATTGATATTTAGGTTTTCGTCAAGTCCTGACAATGACTGTAGTTTTCATGTCAGTTAGTGCCTATTTTCATGTAGGTTATCATGTCTATCTGAAGTTTCTTGAATTAGTGCTTGGAAAAGCAATAGCAGCTGTCAGGAGGCTTAAAAATAGAAAACGTCCAGTGTTTCCTTTCAAAACAAATTATTCTTTTCTACTTTTTCTGTGCAATATACGTGCTTGGTGCACTTCCATGTATGTAAAGAAAACAGGTGGAAGAGTGCTCAGCACACACCTCCTTTGGAGACAGCTAAGGTGACTAATGGGAAATAACTTACCAGTCTTAGCCCTATTTTCATGTAGGTTATCATGTCTATCTGAAGTTTCTTGAATTAGTGCTTGGAAAAGCAATAGCAGCTGTCAGGAGGCTTAAAAATAGAAAACGTCCAGTGTTTCCTTTCAAAACAAATTATTCTTTTCTACTTTTTCTGTGCAATATACGTGCTTGGTGCACTTCCATGTATGTAAAGAAAACAGGTGGAAGAGTGCTCAGCACACACCTCCTTTGGAGACAGCTAAGGTGACTAATGGAAAATAACTTACCAGTCTTAGCCTAGCCACTCACTTCCCATTGAATACCCATTGTTCCTGGCTGGTTAAATGGCCCCATGAAGCCTGTCATGGTCTGGAAATGCTGCTGGGCAGTGCCACACAGCAACTGTGAGGGAACAAACAGCTCTACAGAGACTTGGATCAACTGGATCCATGGCTGAGCTCAACTGCATGAGAGTCAAGAAGGCTCAGTGAAGGTCCTGCACTTGGGACAGAACATCCCCATGCAGCTCCAGGCTGGG